GGATGCACGCACGCACGCACGCACGTACGCACACGCGCACGCACGCACGCACACACGCACGCACCGCCCCCTCCCCACACACATATATATATATATATATATATACAAACATATATAGCACCTGACTAATTCAAGATGGTACAGCGATTGACCACAGTAACTGCATTCTCTCGTACTATTATCTGTATGAATGTCCGTAAAACGTGGTTATATATACCTGGCTCCACCGCTTTTTGTGGCGGATCTTTTCCTTGTCTTTGAGATGGCATATCAGCTTATTTTGTCCGGGTAGCACCCATTCTATTTTACCGCCGTAAGGTGATGGATACTTCTTAAAACCGAGCCGTTTTATATTAGACCCTGTCACGGCCCTTAAAAATAATACGGTGAGAACATGCATAATGCGATTAGTTCATCATATAAATTTTATCGCCTTTATGGCTATAGGGGAATAAAATTTTAATTTAAAAAACCTACTAATGAGTGTCAATAACTAATCTATTGTTTTGTTGTTGTTAGTATGTTGAGCTTGTCACGAGATCCCGCTATGTTACCTAATAATGAAATGCGACGTCGTCATTTCAAGAATCAACATTACTACTTTATTTAGGGCACACAGAGTCAATGTGACTCTTAATAAGACATACAATAAGAGGTATCATAGCTAGGCGTACGTGTACCTTACAGCATCATTTACACTCTCAATAAGCGTCCTCACGAAATCATTGACTACACGCTTCTCGCCGGTCTCCTTATCCCACTTCATAGCATCATCGAAAAACACGTGGGCTAAGAATAAAAAAACATATTGCGTTTTTATATNATGGTATGCTTATGGTATGGTTTTTGGTATGGCTATGTATGGATGGTATGGCTATTGCGTATGCGTATGGTATGGTATGGTATGCGTATGGTATGGTATGGGCTATGGTATGGTATGCGTATTGGTATGGCATGGGAATGGCATGCATGGCTATGGCCCATAGAAATAGTATAGCATAGATTCAGATAGGCATAGCATAGCATAGCCATGCATAGCCATAGCATGCATACCATAGCATGCAGATGCATAGCATAGCATAGCATAGCATAGCATAGCATAGCCATAGCATAGGCATAGCGCATAGAATAGCCCATAGTTAGTATAGCTAACTAGTATAGTATAGTATAGTTACAGTATAGTATAGTATAGTTATACATAGTATAGTATAGTATAGTATAGTATAGTATAGTATAGTTAGTATAGTATAGTATAGTATAGTATAGCTAGTGTTATAGTATAGGATTATTAGGTATAGTTATAGTTTAGTTATTAATAGTATAGTATAGTATAGTATAGTTATAGATATAGTATAGTATAAGTTTAGTAATAGTATAGCTATAGTATAGTTGTAAGTATAGTATAGGTATAGTATAGTATAGGTATATATGTATGTATAGTATAGTATAGTATAGCTATAGTTTAAGTATGTATAGTATAGTATAGTATAGTATAGTATAGTATAGTATAGTATAGTATAGTATAGTATAGTATAGTTATTGTATATATAGTATAGTATAGGTATATAATAGTATAGTATGGTATAGTACTAGTATAGGCTATAGTATAGTATAGTATAGTTATAGTATAGGTATGTATAGCTATAGTATAGAACTTAGTATGGTATAGTATGGTATAGTATAGTATAGTATAGTATATGTATAGTATAGTATAGTATAGTTAGTATAGTATAGATAGTATAGTATAGTTAGCTATAGTATAGTATAGTATAGTATAGTATGGTATTAGTATGGTATAGTATAGTATCAGTATGTATAGGTATAGTATGTATAGTATTAGTATAGTATAGTATGTATAGTATAGTATAGTATAGTATAGTAGTAGTATAGTTATGTATAGTATAGTTTATTAGTATAGTATGTATAGTATAAGTATACTATTAGTATAGTATAGATATAGCTATTAGTATAGTCATAGTATAGTTAGTATTAGTATAGTATAGTATTAGTATAGTATAGTATAGTATAGTATAGTATAGTATGTATAAGTATTAGGTATAGTATAGTTAGTTACTATGTATAGCTATTAGATATAGTATAGTATAGTATAGTATAGGTATAGTATCAGTATATTATTTGTATAGTATAGTATCGTATTAGTATAGTATATGTGTTAGTGTTATAGTATAGCTATAGTATAGTATTCGTGATAGTATAGTAGTAGTACTAGTATAGTATAGTATTGTATAGTTATAGGTATAGTATAGCTATAGTATTAGCTATAGTTGTATAGAAAAAATTATAGTATATTATAGTATAGTATAGTATAGGATATAGTTAGTATAGTATTAGTATTAGGATAGTATAGTATAGCTATAGCTATATTGTATAGTATTTAAGTATAGCTATAGTTATAGTGATAGTATAGTATAGTATAGTATAGTATAGTATAGTATAGTATAGTATAGTATAGTATAGTATAGTATAGTATAGTTATAGTAGTAGCGTATAGTATATAATAGTATAGTATGGTTATAGCTATAGTATTAGTATAGATATAGCTTGAGTATAGTATAGTATCAGGTATAGTATAGTATGTATCAGTATAGTATAGTTATAGGTATAGTATAGTATAGGTATAGTATAGTATAGTATAGTATTAGTATGTATAGTATAGTATAGTATAGTATAGTATAGTATAGTATAGGTATGTATAGTATAGTATAGTATAGTATAGTATAGTATAGTATAGTATAGTATAGTATAGTATAGTATAGTATAGTATAGTATAGTATATTATAGTATAGTATAGTATCGGCTATAGATTATAAGTAGATGTAGTGTCAGTATAGCTATGTATAGTATAGTATCGTTAGTATAGTAGAGTATAGTATAGTATATGTATAGTATAGCCTATAGTATAGTATAGTTAGGTATAGTATAGTATAGTATAGTATAGCTATAGCTATAGTATATTTAGTATAGTATAGTATAGGTATAGTATAGTATGTATAGTATAGGTATTAGTAATAGTATAGTATAGTATAGTATAGTATAGTATAGTATAGTATAGTATAGTATAGTATAGTATAGTATAGTATAGTTCCCGCCTCCCCATGTTACATATGATACTGATTGGTCATGTTGGTTGGAGAGATGACGGACGGAGATGGACTGAGAGTTCTTCCTTCTGGTGGTTTCGTGTGTAACAGTTAAATGTAGAAATGTATATTTCGTTTAATCATGCATGCGTTATCGACCGTGAGCTACAAAGTTAGGTTAAACGGTGTTCACTTGCCTCACAAAGTACCATGTTCCAATGCGCATCGTTGAAGAATCCCACGGAGATCCTCGTTTCTAATGTCTGTATCGACGAGCGAAATAGAAAGAACAGATAAACGTGGAGAACAAGAGCGATATCAACATACAGAAAAATAGCTAACGGGAGAAGAAGTGAAGTTAGTGATGTTAGAACCTTAGTTAGTTAGTTATCCCTCGTATAGGTGCCTAGATGGCACATAAGGCAGTGACAAGAGATCTCCAGCGTCGTCGGTCCTCTGCTACTGGCCCCAGCGTCTCCCATGGCAGGTTAAGATGTTAGAACTTGGTTATCGTGAATCGCCACTGTTGTTCAATTGACGCATGCCGACCATTGTACGCGGTCAGTAATAATAAATAATAAATAATAAAATGGGCGATTGATAGAGGAAGTATAACGTAGGAAGATCGGCTAGCTGACGCGCTGAACGGCGTATACCTTTATGTTGAAGATCGGGTGCGCAGCTGAGGTCGCGAACGGCTCCAGCGTAATGATTTCAATATCGGCGTTAAACTCTTCGAACAGATTATCGGCAGTCTGTAACGTACAGTCAGACGCTTGCAGCTCACCGGACGGGAGGCTAATGAAGTTTGATCACCCGGGTCTAATGGTTGACATACATCATTACAACCGCGTTGCATGGCGCAAACCTTCGCCGAACGACGCCGAAAAACAGCCGCATAAATTCCGTACAATAAATTGAAAAATCGATAGGCGTCGTTCATCAGAAAGCGATGAATAAACGCACTCGCTTCATGCGCTGCTGTAGGTGAGTGACCTGGACCGAATTTAGTAGCGCCGGATCCGCTTTCGATGCGTTTTTTATACTCACCAGTGGCTAACCGTTACCGCACATTTTGGAAGTACAACACTAATCGACGTAATCAATCAAAATAATTCTAAATGATTCAATCTGATCATTAATTGATATTTTTGCTTGGATGATTCGCATGGACAAAAACTGCGCGCCCAAGACTGAATCTGGCTCTAAAATTATTTACGGTCTTTGCGTAATCAATTTTACAATATATAGCTACAAAGCGAGTCGCCCTGCCGTGTATCTAGTGGCATGCATACATAGATATATTCGGCTAACAAAGATGATGTTTATGAAGATGTGGTAATAATAATATGCACTTGCGGGATGCATTTAGTTCCCGGGCACCGATTCGCTACCGCCATGTGATTTGAGGCGGTTAATATATACAAATAGGCTGTAGAATTGCATCGGTTGCGTTGTTATTATCGAATTGCATCGCAACGCGCAGAAAAGCGTCCGGTAGGTCAGTGAAACAATGGCGGCTAACGCTGTCTTATTCCGAGATTATCACGAGTCTACGGTGTAAGTTATTCTAACATTCGTCAACATAGCGGATCAGATAACCATAATTATTTTATAAGGAATCTTGCTATTGCCGATCATCAGTGAACGCTGGCAAAGAGCCTATATTGATCAATATAGGCTCTTTGACGCTGGGCCGTTAACCTAGCTGACTGGCGGTGAAACGTCAATATGGCGACCGTAGCTCAGCAGACGACAATGCTTATATCGCTCATATCGCTCACCAATTTAAATATCTCGTCTTTGAATTGCAGCACGGATATACGGGTCCAGTTGTAGTAGTGACAAAGTTCACGTATCGCCGGTACCACCGCCTTCTCTGATGGCAAAATGCGAAACAGCGTCGGGTAGAGATCCCGGTTTGAGAAGACCGGATTACCCGAATTAGACGTAACCTATAAAAGAGATACACAAAGGAATGAATGCATGGCTAGCATGAAGCATGGAATGCATGCTAGGCTGAATGAGCGCGATGTACCTACCAGCAAAAGGGTTTCAATAGAATAAAAACAAACAAATCAAAGCCGATTGGGCTACGCGGCTACAGAAATATATTATTCATATACTAGATGATACATATAGTATACTAGAATATATTACAACAGTTTTGCACGCCCACGCGCACAATAACATAAATGCATTCACAAACGCGCTCTGGCAGGCAAACACACGCGCACGCGCGCGCACGCATACACGCGCGCAAAATCACACATGATAATACAGAAATTAGAGAAATCCAAATGACACGCGTTTCGAGAATATAATAATATACTGATATGAATTGTCATCGCTGAAATATCGTATTCGAATTTCTGAAACTCGATTTTACAGAAAAAGATTCGGCCATGAATTTTCCTTACATGCGAAATTATTGTATGAATGCGCGTTTCACATGAGGCAACCAATCAACTATGAAATTACTAATGAAATTTTAGCTGACAGCTGCAGTTAAATGCAGATAAGAAGCCGTTATCAAATTGCATGCGAGGAACATCAGTAATTTTGTTAAATATATTTTTACTGCTACGCTGTTACAGTAGGTAAATCTGTTATTATCCAGGCACATATGCTTGCTCTTTGGATATTACATTCATTTCGACTT